CTGCACCCGGCGCACCCACCGAACAGACGGGCGTACTCCCTAATACCTGGCACCCATGTCATCTGCCTGCCGCCACAAGAGACGAACCAAAGCCTCCGTGGAATTCCGGAACGTGGCCCGCAATTGCGTTAAAACCATGGAAAAGAACATGGTTTTGGGCTCTACCAGCCAAGCTTTGTCCACGAGTGCCCAAGCCGCACCTCGGTGCCGCCAACTTTGAAACAATGGCCGATGAGGATGCGCTCCACTGCTGCCTGACTCACCTGCACGTCCTCGTCCCTTCGGGGAGGGAAAGCCCTCCTCCTCCCCTCCCTCAAGCTGTTTTCGGGAGGTCCGTGAGGGGTTCGAATGTCCAAGATGGCCCAAGATGGCTCCAGGACCTCCGATGCTCCAAGATGGCCTCCGAAGCGGTTCAACATAGCGGAAGCTGGTTCGCTGTCGACATACTTCCAAGAGGCCCGACGAGGGCCACAAGACGGTTCCAAGTACTCTCGGAGCCCCCATGAAGACCCCCCAAAAAGCCAAAAACCTTCAACAACGCAATGCGTGGACGATGCTTGCCTTCTCGCCGATTCGCTTTCGATGCTCTTTTGAGGCCCGAAAATGGCCCTAAGCTGGCCCAAGAGAGGCCCAAGATTGGCCCAAGATGCCCCCAAGACGGCCCCAAGAGCGCCCAAGATCGCCCCTAAAGCGCCCCAAGAGGTTCCCAAGGGCGATTTCGAGGGCCCGGCCTGAACGTTATTGCCCCTCTCTTTTCACCGACGCCCTCCACGATAGCCCCAAGAGGCCCTCCAGGGCTCCCAAGAGGACCCCAACAGAGCACCAAAATGGCCCCAGGGCCCCGAGACACCCAGAAACAGCTCCAAGAGGACCCCAGCACCCCTCGAAAGAACCACAAGAGAGCCCCAGAACACTCCAGGAAAAATTGTTCCATGAGATCTCGTCCGCGTCGTCTTTATCCTCGTCCTCCTCCTCCTCCTCCTCCTCCTCATCGTCCTCCTCCTCCTGCTTCTCATCATCCTCCCCATCCCTGTCGTCGTCGTTATCGTCCTCCTCCTCACCCTCCTCCTCCTCGTCCTCCTCCTCGTTATTGTCTTCGTCCTTCTCCCCGCCCTCGTCCTTGGAGGGAAGGCGAGGGGGGAAGGGGGAGTGATGGGGGAGAAAAAGGTGGGGAGAGGCTGAAAGAGGGGGAGGGGGCGGGGGCAAGCTAGGTGCGATCGCGTCAAATCTGACGTCCTACCTACCCATCCTTCCCATCCTGCTCAGATGCCCTCAGTCAAGATGCGACTGAACAAGGCAACGCTGGATCACTCGACGGCCTGAAGTCCTGAGCAGACGCATTAAGCCCCATTGGGGGGCTGTTACGCTGGAGTGGGCCTACAGGTCCAAAGTGTCGCTCCTGAACCACCCTTTGTGGGCTCAGGGAGACGGAAGCGGGCGGCTGCGCGGCAGGCTGGCCGACAAGACGTCTAGGTGGCGTGTGATGGTGGTCTGGCCAGCAAGCCTGGACCTGCCTGGCGGCCCGGCGCCAGAGCTCCGCGCCGATTGCGGCGGCAAGGCGCTGGCACCGCCACTCCCCGTCGGAACAGCCACGCCTCCGCGATTGTTTGATCGCGAGGGTGCGGAGGATGGCTGTCGTTCGGGGGTGGGGCCGGCCGTAGCACCTGAACACCAGCGGCTGGTAGGTGATGTTCTGCCGGGCCAGGGCGTCCGCGTGCGGGGAATAGTACTCGACTTTGCGTCGGTACATGGCGGCCGCACAGTCTGGTCCAGCGGCCGCGGCGTCGGGCGAGGCCACGCCGACGTCGAGGGCCAGGAGACCGTTGCCCAAAGCGCCAGTGAGGACGTCTGCTGGTCGGAACCGCGTGCCCGGCACCAGGCCCGGAGCCTCCAGCTCGGCGCCAGGGTCGCAAACTTTGGCGGCGTCGTGGGCTCGCCGCGCCACTGCGTGGTGCCCCCGAGTGGATTCCGCGAGACTGCAGCATAGGGCGTGAGACCCAACCCGGTCCAATAGGGCAGCGCCGCGGAGGCCGCAGGGAACTGGTTCGAGAGCTCCAGCGCCGACGCGAAGGCGGAGGGCCTCGACGAAGTCGGGGGAGTCCATCACTTGTCCAATTGGACAAGTTCCAGAGCCAGGAGTGGTCGCAGTCGGGGTGCTCGAGGTCGTCGAGCCGTCGCAGTGCCGCGTCGTCTCCTGCGTCCCGGTGCCGCTTGCGAAGGTCATGCCTGCCCTGCTCGTCGAGGTGGCGCAGGAGCGTCCGTTGCAGGTGCAGCTGCCTCGCGCGCGTGGAAGAGTTCGGGTGCTCGTCGTTTCGTCTTCGTCAAGGGGGAGCATGTTGCGGCCGATGCCCCGGGGACGGGCGCGGCGTTCCCGCAGAGCTGCCGCGGGCGCCTCCGCGCGCGGGTCGAAGAGCGCAGCCCACCGCCCCTCGGACTCCGCGAACGCTTCTGAAAGCGTGGCCAAGACGAGGCCGCCCTCCGTTGGCGGAAGGCTGAGGGCGAGGCGTGCCGCGGCGTCGTCAGTGCGCTGGTCGTACGCAGCCATTATGACCCCCGTGTCACCAAGCCCTCTGTCTGCGAGGTGAGTTGCCATCTCGCGCACGTGCGGCCTCGAGCATACGCGGCTGGCCACGAATGCGGCGAACGACGCCTGCGTTGCGGTACGCATGCCGAGCCCCCCTTTGCTCGTGCCTAGCGAGCACTACTCCCATGCCGCGTCAGGGAGGTCACCGCCAGCAACGAGCTGCACCGCCTCGCGGAGGTCGGTGTCGAACTGTTCCATGTGTTCCCTCTTCACCCTGTCCCCATTGAGCCGGAGCTGATAGGAGAGCTTTGACACGTCGCCGCAGAGCCGCGTGAACACCAGCTCGGTGGCGGCGTGCCCCACTTCCAGCAGGGCGAGGCGGGTGTCGCGGGCCTTGGCGAGCACGCCCCTGACCTGGGCGTCAAGCGCTTCCGGGCTGCCGAAGGGCGCGCCGAGGGCGAGCGCGGGCCCCTCCGGGGCGAGCGCCGTGCAGGTGTTCCGGACGTTGTCGGTGTCCCAGCCGTTGTAGCGGTGCCGCTCGCTGTCAGGGCAGAGCAAGCGGCAAGAGCTCTTGGCTGTGTGTGCGGCCACCGTCCCGCGCGTGCCGCCGAAGCGGGCGAGGCTGGCATCGAGGCTGCGCAGGAAGGCGTCCAGAGCGTGTGGGCGGACAAAGACCTGGCCGTCGTCGATGAACCATTGCTCGCAGGCGCCCGAGGCTGCGGCTGCTCCCTCCGCGGGCGGCCCAATGTGGGGGGCGCGAGAAGCAGCGAGCGTGAGCCCCGCCTGCGACGTGCCGAAGTCGTCTCCCTGTTCGGCGCCGCGGTCTGTTGTGAAGGTCCCGCCAGAAGGGAGGAGTGTTTCAGAGGGCTCTTGCTGGTGCCAGGAAGTCCAGGCGGCGATCTCGGGGAACGCCGCGCGGTCGATCGAGGACCGCATGGTGTCCCATTCCACGTTGCCTTCCCATCCCTTACCATGGCGTAGATCTCCGCTCTATTCGCGCAATCGGATTCGTAGCATGGCATAGCATTACATGACATAGCATGGTGTTGAAGATTAACGCGTAGCATGACATACCCTGAGGCCGTGCAGATCTATTTTTTAGAACTAGTACGTTTAGATCTATTTTGTTTTTTGTATGTTCAAGATCTATTTTATTTTTTTTGTTGTGAATACCTGAAATATAAAATATCGTTTAACATTTGATAGATTTTGTTTTTTATATACAAACCTTGCGGTATAACGGTTTGATGTGAGCGACGCATTCAAACAACCGCGACGCAGCAGCAACGACGCACGGGTGGCGGTAATAGACGGAAGTCTTGGGAATACGTGGGCAGCGGCAGAACGAAAGTCTTGGGAATACGTTGGTGAAATCACATGATGATATCATTTCGCTCTCGCGAACAAGCGTGAAAGGAAACACTGGCGGCCGCGGCTTCGGTCTAGGCCTATAGATGCGCATTCCCCTTGGCGGGAATGTAACGCCTTCTCCGCCGCCAAATGTATGACAGGACGCGGCTCGGATTTCCCATAGGCGATCTCCAACAACGGCCCCGAATAAACGACATGTGGTTCGATCGGCCCAGGGACGATGCAAAACAACGCGCCCCACAGGAGGTTCATCGCCATTCCCGCCCCGCCAGGACGGGGGAGCGAGTCGAGGAGGAAGAGGAACGCGAGAAAGAGCGAGAGGGGGGGGGAGTCGGAGGGAGGAAGGTTAAGACGAGAAGGCGGAGATGAGGAGGAAGAAGATGAGGGAGCACATATGCGATTCCTGAAAGGCAAGGGGCGGCGGCGTTCCGCCGCAGGCGTTTTTGCGTGATTATGGAAAACGTACCGCATAAAATGGTACAGCTTCTCACGCTCACGCCGCTCGCGCTCCTCCGCCTGCTCCCTGACCTCAGCCTCTCGTCTGTGTTTCTCATGGGGCGGGGGGGGCGTCGATGAAGCAGAGACGATGGCACCGCCCCTCTCATCACGCCCGCGGGCTCCATTGTTCACATCTACCCCCTTTCCCCGTGACTGAGTGCCCTTTCCCCAGGAAACAAACACATCGGAGGGCTGGGGAGGTAGCTGTGTTCCCCTCCAATCCTGCAGCGATAGCATCTCCGCCGCAAACTCGCGGCGGGACCTGCGTCGTGCCATTTCCTCGGGGTCCAGATCGGAGCCGCTCTCGTCTGAGACATCCTCGTCTGAGCTATCCTCGTCGACGACGTCGTCCAACGTCGGCTCCCTGTCCTCCGTCAGGACGTCGCTGTCCTCCTCCTCCTCTTCCTCCTCCTCCTCCTCCTCGAGGGCGCCTTCTTCGTTGCCCCGTTGCTCGTCGCGGTGCTGTTCGCCCTCGTCATCCTTGCCAGCTTGCTCGTCTGCCTCCGCCGCGTCGTCACGGCAGACGACATCTTCCTCCTCATCGTCCTCCTCCTCCTCATCCTCGCTCCCCTCGTTCGAGGCGTCGGCCATCGGATCTACATGAATG